TTTGGAGCCAGGATCCCCTCCCCACGTTCCCTACGGATGGGGGATCCAGACCCCATCGGAGCAGCCAAATTCCCCCACAGCGAACAAGCCGAGTCCGGATCCAGATCCCGGTCCGGAACAGGGGCTCTGGATCAGCCTTTGATCCGGGAGCGGGCAGGATTCTGGCGGGGAGAAGTTTGGGGAAGTTGGATCCCACGAGGAAGCAGGTTCGGACTCGCCGCCTCCGCGCGGCTCCGGCGCCTCCTTTTGTGCCCCTCATCCGGAGCTCGTCCGAGTGGAGGAGCCGAGCGGGACGCGGCGCCGCTTCCCCGAGCACCCTCCCGCTCCAAGCCGCTATTCCCGGCTCCTCTCCGAGTTTTCCGGAGGCTCCGGCGCCTCCTGCGCCAGCAGCTTCCCCGAAAAGAGCCACTTGGCACTGGCGCCCGGGCGCTTAATCCCGCTGCCCTTGCCTGCCGAATCCCTCTCTTTTTTCCACCCGGATTTGGTTCAGCTTGGACGTGGTGCCAACCAGCCGGACACGGGACCGTGGCAGTCAGGAAAACGGGGCCAAATCTGGGTTTTTTGGGAGTCGGAGCAGCCCGGCCGGCTGTTTCGCAGCCGCCTGCAGCTTGGGGTGCTCGAAACCCGATCGCCGCCTCACGTGGCCTCGGCCGCTCCGAGCGGATCCGCTCGGAAGCGGCCCTGGAAAGGCAGTTTTGTGGAGCCGGGATCGCCCCTCTCCGTGTCCTGGGTTCCCTTTCCGGCCACGGAGGGTGTTTTTTTTTAAGTGAGATTTTAGTGTTTTCCTCTCAAGAAGACAAAAATCCTGGGAGCCGAAGGAGAAATCCTTCCGGAGCTGCCGAGGCCTTTGGAGCCGCTCTGGGATTTTTCCATGAAGAACCTGCTCCAGGAGAGGAATGCGCCCCCCCCTCCCTCCCCCGGTGGGGGGGGCGAGCTCTGGAGAGGGATAAAATTCCCTGGGAGAGACTTGACTCCATGCGGAGCAGTTTGGGGCTGTTGTGTTGGGAATCCACTGGGATGGAGGCGGAAGAGGGGGGGAAAGGTTGGAAAATCACCTCCAGGTGCCCCCCCAACCCCCCCTCTTGTTGTTTGCAGCCTCTCAGCGACCAAAGATCCGAGTGCGGATCCCGGCGCCGCCCGCCATGGACACCGGAGTCATCGAAGGGGGGCTCAACGTGACGCTCACCATCCGGCTGCTCATGCACGGAAAGGTAGGGACACGTCCCGCGACGGGATCCGGAGCGCCCCGGAGCTGCCGGGAATGACTGGGATGGGGAATTTGGGGGGGGGGGGAGGGATCCAAGAGACCCATTTTGGGGAGAAAACACTCATTTTGAAGCCCCCAAAGTGGTGCTTGGCTCCCCAAGGGCTTTCCAGAGCTGCTCCCTAACATCCGCTTTTTCCTCC